CTGCCATGGAAAATTTGAAAACTCTTTTATATTTTCGAAATCAGTGTATTTTTCTGATTACCGTGTTGTGTCATGTGATATGCTTTTAATTGTCAGTGTTGCGAGAAACAACTACTCTGAATGCTATATTATATGCCCCTACCGGCATTGAATTATACTCGCAACAGCTAGTATCGTTCGTCAGTTTAACCCACCAGGCACAGACCGGTTTCCAGCTTATTAGTCCTCATCAGTGTGTGATAGGTGAGACAACCGACAAACGATCCAGCTGTTTTTCGTCGTATCGTCACGACAAGGATACATTGTACGCATTTCCTGGAGATAACTGAGATCCATGGCACGATGTCAAAGGCACTGGCGTAGCAGTTTCTTCAGGAAAAAGGCACTCTAACGCTTCTCTTCATTTCTCTGCATATAAAACGTATTAAGTCCTTATAAATTTTGTTGTACAATCTTGATCTAAAATACAGTATTTGCCTTGTTTGATTTGCAAATTTCCGTGACATTGTTAACAAACTTTCGGGACGAATGTTTCACGTCGGTTTAAACTTCTAAACGTTTCGACAGACATAACGCCCTCTTCTTCAATCACTATATTTTACTTTTAAACTGGAAACCGGTTCGAAGATTGCTCAAAAACAATACTTTTGCCCTACATCTTACCCTCAAAATGGTCTAAATTAAAGGCACAGAAAAAAATTTGTTTTCACATACTGTTTTACAGTGAATTTTGACCCGCTGAAGACGATGTAGCCATTAGAAATGCTTCGTCACATCAGGATTTTTCCCTAACCTCAACAAATATCTATCTCAAATTTAGTGGAAATTTCGATTTTTTGATAAAAAAAGTTAAGATTTTAAAATTAAAATAGGTACAGAGTGATTCACTATATTTTGACCCCCCTTTAATTTTTTTTGTTTCAAAAGTTATAAAAAATTTTGAAATACAAAAGTTGAACGATTTTTTATGAAGTTTTCGAAAATGTTAGTAGAAAAAAAAATGAATGAATTGTTAATTTAAATGGAACACCATGTCTGTTTTTACTTATTTGGATAGAACGTTCCCTGTCTAGTATAGTCATACAGGGTTTGTTGGGTCCTTCTCTAACAATAAGCGAGATAATATTAAAAAACGAATAGAAGGTAAATTTATTAAGAAAACAAGACATTTTGTAATTGTTTTAAAATTAAAGGTATTTTAACTAAATCTCACTAATTAGGCCGTGAGAGGCCTATTTACTCATGGTCAATGTTACATGGTAGGCTGTGACAGTGACAGGTAATGTTATGACAACATTGTTATTGTTTGATAGCTTGCATTATTATTTAATTAAAATGGATTACACAGAAGTAGAAAATTGAAATCAAAATATATTACAACTAAATTTAAATCCTTACGTAATTGGAAAAAGGCATAAATGCTTGAAAGTGGTCTAACAATTACAAAATGTCTTATTTTCTTAATAAAAAACCTTCTTTTCGTTGTATTTCTGCACTTTTTTCTCTAAAATGCTTCTTTGTGGAGCTACAGCTATTTTTAACTAATTTTAGACAAAAAAGTGCAAGAATAAAAAGGTTTTATTTTAGTCTGGGTCTGAAAATAAAAAGATCTTTCTCGCAATTTTTTCTTTAAAATGCGTTCTTGTTGAGGCATTTTAATAATGCTCAAAATTGGTTAAAAATGGTTGTAACTCCACAAAGAGACATTTTAGAGAAAAAGGTGCCTGAGTAAAAAGAATATTTTGATCCTATTAACACGTATGTGCACTTTAATTTCAAAATCTTAACTATTTTAAAAATACTGACATGACGGAGTATTTCTTCATCTTCAACAGGGAGATCAAATTCTGTTAATAAAAATTACAATGGTGTTCTGGGTGTAGCGAACTGTATTTACTTATTCATTCATATTTATAGACACCATCCGTAGAATAGAATATTTGTTAAGTAGTTAACAATAATCTAGTTTAATTTTTTATGTGCTACTTCGTCAGGATTACAACGCAGTTCCATATCCACATAAAGCGTTTAGCACTGCTTAACAGTTGGTAATTTCAAACTGTGTTTCAAATGAAATAGATACATGCCATTATATACAGTAATAATGCGATCTCGGAAAACGCTTGCAATGGCAGCACCCACCTCCCCGAGACCAAAAAATGCCTTAAAATTACACTTAGAACTATCATTTCTCAAAACTATGGCATTAGAAATTGGCAGATCTGGATTATAATTTACATCGTATCCACATAAGGTTCTAATAACCGTTTATAATAAATAAAGGAACGACTGCGTAAAAAAGGATAATAGGAGCAAATTATCGATAGTTATCGTTCGATTTTACCTGCTGGCCAAACAGATTTGCAATCTGGGAGATGTTTTACTGTAAACTCGGCTTTAATTCTAGATTATTTGCGTGCATACGATATAATTTTTGGTTTTAATATTCAGATGCCAATATTGTTCGGATAGGAGCTCGTGTTATACGGCAACAGCTTGAATATTTAACCACTAGATCGTTCTTGATTGCATTGCCTCGAGATATCAATTACATAGATCGTTATTCTCTCTAAAAACGGAATATCTAATGTATCCGTACCTCCACGCAGACAAAGGAATCCGAGCCGGTTACCATCCATCTCCGCGCATTACAATAATTAGGATTTATTTACGACAGTATTCTTAATTAGGGCAGAAGCTCGACGCGGCTGAGCGTCATAACGTTGAAAAGTCATCTGTTCTTCAATCCGCTTCTTGCAGAATATGCCATGAAGACAGAAGAAGACTGCGGTCACGTCACGTGCTATCACGTGACCACACGCGAAATGCGTAAAGTTGTCGATAATGTTAAAAACCAGATAAAATACCAATAGTCATTTGCTTTTGGTCACCACATTTGTTATACCTGGCACGCTGACAAATTCTGTTGAAACTATCAGAATTTTTGTCTCAAATACCTGCAAGACAATATGAAACAGCTTATGGTGACTTCAAAAAGTGATACGCTGAAAAGAAAATGTGTGAAAATTTCTTACTGGCTTATTTTGGATAGGAACATGGAAGGCAAAAGTTGTGTGGTTCTGACAGCAGGATTCAAAGGACGTATGTCATTTCGCTTGTATTTTATATTATATTACAGTTTACTAAAAATTGTAGAGTTTTCATTAAATGTGCTAATGAAAATGCGCCATCAGTTAATAGCTGTTAATGTAATAAGAAGCACTTCAAATCATATCGGTATGTCCGAAAGACTATACCACCGTTTCAGGTGGTTTTATTGCGGAGCAGATATTTCCTCTAGCAATATATATGGTTTGGATGTCTACTTCAGTAGCCAGAACATACATTGTAGACTCCATAGAGAATAAAATCCGAGTTTCAAATGGGTTTTCTTCGAAAGTGGTTAAAGTTTCGCTGCTAACATAATAACCTATTTGCAATTTTTGAACAAAGAAATTCATGTTAGTTGTAATAATTATTGTTCTACTGAGGAATTAATCAAGCAATTTATCCAATAAAATTAATAAGTGTGAGGTGTAAGAGAAAGTTTCTTTTGTTCAAGAACAACCCCTTTGTGTCAAAAAGACTTTTAGAACAAAAAATTTATTCTTCGTGCATCTTTGACACTTAGGAAACATAATTGAAATATTGACATCATTTTATGACATTTTTCGAAAAATATAACTGTTTTTCATATGATGGCCATTGTAACTAATTATAATGAAAAAATATATTCAAATGAATATGATAATGAAATAGACAGGTCAATATTATGTGAGTTAATTCCATTAAAATAAAAATAAAAAACCAATCACAACATTCTATATTTAGGTAATATTACTGATTTCGTGAACAACAAATTACTTCACAGATTATTATTGAAAAATACTATTCTTGGTAGGAAATATTTTCAATAAAAATTCAGGTCTGAAAATGTGAAATAAATAATAATAAAATTCACGAAATCGATAACATTACTTAAATAGAGAATTTTGTGAGATTGGACTTTTCTTTTTTATTCCGATAAAAATGTTATTTTTGTGTTGGTCACACTTTTTTGGATTATTTGTATTTCTAAGTTTCAATTCCGGAGAAACTCACACTTCAGTTTTTTAAATAAATATTTGAAATATTAGATTTATCTCCATCCAAAAGTAAATTTGTTCAACGTATCAGTAAATGAATGAATGAACTGGAAAGACAGTTAAAATTGCGGCACTTACGATGCTAACGACAATAATAGCGATAACGCAAAACAAAAAAAATATATCTGCGAAAACATGGTACGCGCGTTTCCGTTGTAAACGTGAGATTTAGTTAATATTTAATTTCACACATTGATAACAAACATAACGAATAAATAAGATAGTTCATAAATGCACCGTTTATTGCATCGCAATGTTAACACAGCTTTAATTATTTTCCTCCTCGATAAAAGGCGCGCACTATCAGGCTTAGCGTGACTGCTCACCTCTTTATTTCCTTAAGTAAGGACCCCCATTCCTCCGAAATTGATAAGATTTACCTTTATACGTACAAATTGAACGTCGCTTTTGTGTTTTTTAAATGTGGAAATTCAACGGCTGTAATAATAATTGTATATAATGTGTAGCCACAGGTTAACAAAGGGCCTTTTCATTCCCCAACAACAGTGGTAACAGTGGTAAATTGGCATCGCCTCCAGTTAATATTCTTTCTTTTGCTTGTTTTGCACGCGACGAATAATGTTTTTTGTGCGACGTTTGTTTCTCTAAACGCCTTCGAAGTGCGAAAGTTGCGATTAACATCGAACGCGTATGTCGTCCACTTAGCGTGCAATTTTTACATTGTTACATTTTCAATTGTAACAAGTTATTACATTGTAAAATATGTTGTTTTTAAATCCAATTTACATTAGATATCTATGAATTGCAAACTAAAAATACCGTTAAAGTAATATTAAGATGAAAATTGTACCTAAAAGTAGAAGCGCAATTTAATAAAAGTTTCTGTTGTTGCAGGGCGTCCTTTTGGCGAACATGTGATGCGCCGCGATGCCCACTCTGTCCGCGGCGCCTGAGCAGAGTCCCGGCGGCCGCACCGACCGGCAGAATAGTCACCCAGACGCCATGAGCCCTGAGCAGGAGGCGAGCCCACCACCTGCAGCGCCGGGCGCATCTCCACCGCCGCCGCCCCCCACGCGCCTACCTTCGCCCGCCATGTCTCACCAGGAAAACACATCCGACGTGGAGCAGTTCTCCGGCAAGATCGTCTATAATCCGGACGGTTCCGCGTACATAATCGAGGACTCGGAGAGCGAAAGCGAAACTGCCGGCCCTAACACCACCGTGCCCGAGATCGTGCCGCCCCTTCAAGCGGTGTACGTTTCGCGGTTACTCCGGCAGCCCGCCCGCCCCACAGAACTGCCGGCGGTCCACAGCTACCGCGTGGTGGCGCTCAGAGACGCTCGGCCCCCGAGGCCCGCTTCCGTGCCAGTGAAACCCATCCTCATGTGCTTCGTCTGCAAGCTGAGCTTCGGCTTCGCACGGTCCTTCGCCAACCACGCACAGTCCGAGCACGGCGTCACCCTCAAGGAGAACGAGCGCGAGGTCTTGGCCGCCGACTGTTCCGCCATTCTGCAGTGCGTGGGCGCCGAGAAGAGGCCCATGGTGTCCCTGCTGGAGCCTCTGGGCACGGCATCGCACGACAACCACAATACAAATCAAATAGTTCCTGTTCACTCTGTACAAAACCGCAACGAGGGACCCTCGCCCATCACCGATACGCCGCCATGTTCCTCATCTCGAAACACACCCGGAAAGTCCCCGTCGCCGCCGTTCGCGGCCCCTCCCGCCTTCATGACCGGAACCACGATAGGCGTCTGTCCGGAACACCTCCAGGGCAGGCCGTCTGGAGTAGAATGCGCTCGCTGCGAGATGATCCTGGCTTCCGGTCGTCTAGGACCCGCAGGGTTGGCCAACGTACACAGTAGAAACTCATGTAAAACGCTTAAATGCCCCAAGTGCAACTGGCATTACAAATACCAAGAAACTCTGGAGATCCACATGAAAGAGAAACACCCAGAAGCTGAAACTAGTTGTATTTATTGTATAGCCGGTCAGCCGCACCCGCGGTTAGCCAGGGGAGAAACCTACACCTGCGGGTACAAACCTTACCGTTGCGAAGTCTGCAACTACTCAACGACAACCAAAGGCAATCTTAGTATACACATGCAGTCAGATAAGCATCTCAATAACATGCAGGAGCTTCAAAATGGGGGAGCTCCCAACGCAGAAGCGCGTCAGGCGTCTCCCAAGGCCCCACCACTACACCACTCCCCAGTCAGCAGCGGGCACAAGCCCAAACCTAGCTTCAGGTGTGACGTTTGCAACTACGAGACAAACGTAGCCCGAAACTTGAGAATCCACATGACCTCGGAGAAGCATACGCACAATATGCTTGTACTCCAACAGAACGTGAAGCATATGCAGACGCTGTCCGCCTTGCATCACCAACAACACCCTCAGCAACACATGGAGAGCCTCTACGGAATGTATCCCGGTCTGGGAGATAAACCAGAAGCGGCCCTTGCCGATATGGCTTACAATCAAGCGCTGCTCATCCAGATGATGACAGGAGGGCAGTTACCAGGCCATGGTGGTCCGGCGGACATGACAGCCCACTCAGATCTGGGCTTGAACCCGGAAACCATGGAACCACCTCCCGAACCAGCGGATCCCGATCCAGAAAAGACTTACCAATGCTGCGTCTGCAACGTGTTCCAGACGGACAACTTAGAAGAACTCGGACGACACCTGGCGCTCGATCGGACGCGGCTGCGAGAGCAGGAGATCCTGGCCGTCGTGGCCGGGCACTACGTCTGCAAGCTTTGCACCTACAAAACCAATCTGAAAGCCAACTTCCAACTCCACTGCAAGACTGATAAGCATCTACAGAGACTGCAACACGTGAACCACGTTAAGGAAGGCGGGCCTCGTAACGAATGGAAACTGAAGTACGCCTCGGCGCCAGGAGGTGTCCAGATCCGCTGCAACGCCTGCGATTACTACACAAACTCGGCGCATAAGTTGCAGTTACACGCCGCGGCGGGTCGTCACGACGCCGGCATCGCTCTCCTCAAGCACCTCATGGAGAGGTGTTCCATCCTCAACCCGAACCAGCCTAGGGTTTTTCATTGTTCGTTGTGCGGCTTTTCCGCCACTAATAGATTACCTCTTCTCCAACACGTGCGGTCTCTCAAGCATCTTCACATGGAGCAGCTGCACCAGCTCCAGAGGCGCGCGGAAGGTAAAGACACCTCCCCGGAAATCGGAGATGTCTTCCATGTTGTACCTGGACCCATGGATCAGCAGCAACAGCAGCAAACACCAGGTATGTTTTCTTTTTTGTTTATTTTTATGGAACTAGAAGTATCATGTGTAAATTACCGTTAATTGAGCATTTAAGGACTCAAATATACTTATGTAACAGTTGGTTTTACATTGAAAACTTTTTCATTTTAATTTGGAAAGTATAATTACTGTCCTCAGTCTATAAGTTCAATTAACTCATAACCATACATCATTCGTTTAATTAAAACAATATCTACCCAACTAAAAAATTGTTAGTAGGTAGAAAAATATAGTTTAATATCTGCAATAAATTATACACCCTCACAAAATTCCTTCCATTGACATTAAGTCATCGTGTAGTCCTTATTTTTTTATTTACACTAGCTTTTCCTCTATGGAAATATTCCTAATTAAGTTACTTAATATTGGATTTATTTCCTTTCATATTAAAAATTGTTCATATTATTTAAAAAAAAAATAGTTTGCTTGTCATAATTCACTCGATATTTCATTTGAACTCTGATATAATTAGATTCAAGGTTAAGAACAGTGGAAAAGGTAGTACTCTGCTTACTTTAAAATAAACAGAAACGTGGAATTTACTATCATTCTGAAAATATCTATGAGATTCGGAAATGTCTCATCATGATGCTGTTTTACTTTGTGAAAACGGTATGGTGTTTGTAGTAAGTGAAAAATTTATTATTGTTTCAGACAACAAAGTTCAATGTTTAGGAACTAATATTGTGACAAAGATCTTTTACATTTTCAGTTGAGCATAGTCCTTAATTTAAAAATTATTTTAATTTGAGTTTGGACTATACTTATAGTGTAATAAAAATGCTTAAGAAACTTGGCACAAACGTATGCCAAAACGCTTTTTGGTCGGGATCAAAGTTAAATTAAAAAATAAAAAAAGTTTATACAAATTCGCAAAGAAAAAAACAGTTGTGTAAATATTTTATTTATTTAATTAATAAGGTGATAATTTAAAATGCCAAATTTTTGCAATTAAACATATTTTTTTGTTAATTCGTAATATAGAATCCACCATTACAATTTGGTTATTTTAATTATATTTTGTATAATGACTTTTTCATTCGAATACCGTCAGTTTGGCGCAGAAAATAAAATATAATTTACCGATTTTACTTAGGTATAAATATTTTATATCTTTATCATGAATTAAACTATATTGTAGACAAATCAGGAGACAAATACTCTTTAAGGTAATAGAATTAGAAAGATTAATACACGAATAAAATAAATCTTTTAAACTGTTAGTTGTAAAATACAATACGAGTGTGGCAATAAATATTTAGGGCTGATTAATTTGGGGAAATGCAAAGTTGGGATTTGCTTACAGTAAATATAAAATGCAGTCGATTTAATTAAAATGTTGATTTTGGATTTATCTTAAAAAATTACGGTGTTGTAATAAAAAAATATTTAAATAAACAACATTAGTTAGGTATACAACAAAATATTAGAAAATTGCTGATTTTAAAATTTAATATACCTATATACAGGATGTCTCATAATTAGTGTCCAATAATTTACCACCTGATTTTATTGCTAAAAATAAGAATATTTCTTCATATAAATATGGCTCGAGAAATGGAGCTACGCCCCCCTAAATGGTGCCTCAAAAAATTATTTATTTTTTAAATGGATCTAATTACATACATTAATAAAGTTCAAAAAAATTTTCTTGAATAGGGTACATGTACCATTATGAATTTTGATATATTATCATACCATTATACATTGTTATAAACAACGTGAAAAGTTCTTAGAAAAGTTGGTTATGGGCGTCCTAAACAGGGAGGCTCGAGTAAAATTTGCCCCAAATTTGTTGCTATTTTCAAATTTAAATAGCAAAATTTGATAGATCTGAGTTTTTTTTATTAAAAATGGTGATGTTGTTTTATATCGAAAAAGTATTCCGTTTTCGAGAAAAATCGGTTTAAATATGTTATAACACTTTCCAAAGTATGCTTTTCTAAGCATTCAAATCCGTATTTCTTGGAAATGGAGCATTTTATCGAAAGAGGAAATGAAGGTATGAAGGTCTATCATATGCTGGTATCTGAACTAGAAAATTTCGACAAGCAAAAAAATTGGGGAAAATTTTTGCCGGCGACCCCCTCAATTGAGACGCCCCTGATCAAAATTTTTGAAAATTTTTATGATGATCGATCGACTTTTAATGAGCGTTCATGGTATCAAAATTTAATTTTTTAAGGACCCATTTAGGGGCGGGGGGCTAGCTCCTTAGGGAGCATTTCACGACCCATGTTTATATGAAAAAATATTCTTATTTTTGGCAATAGAATCAGGTGGTAAATTATTGGACACTAATTATGAGACACCCTGTATAATTTTTAGGTATTTGACAATTACAAATTTATATGTAGGTACCTACATATTTTTTCTTCTTTCAGACATACAGGGTGTTTCAGAAGAAAGTGTATTAAACTATAAGGGAATAGTTTTCAGGTAAAAATAATAACGCATCATTTTCGAAAAATGGGCAATGAAATTTTTCCAAAAATCATTTTCTGATAAAAAGAACTTAGTTTATTTAAGAAAAAGTATTTTGTTACGTTTATAATATGATGGCGAACACTTCGAAAACCAACGCAACAAATCGTCAAATCGTAATTTGTTTCTAATTTATATTTGTTTATTATTTTTTTATATCAACTTCATTTAGATTTAATTTTTTATGAAGTAACCTATTAATTAAAATTCTTTTGAAAACTGTGATTGCTGTCGTAAAGGGAAGAGAACGTTTTATCAATATCATGCAATTTACTTCAAAATCCAAGAAAATGAGGTAATTTGATAAAAGTCACTATTTCTTAAATATCTAAAAAATACTAAATTGTAGTCTATTCTATCTATTCTATTTTTTTCCTATAAAATAGTAAGGACCTTTTCTCAAAAATCGTATATATCGAAGTTTATGTAATCCTTTCTACGAAAGGATTGCCTCTTAGAGTTTGTGCACACCGTATGTAAGCTTTTCCAATACGTAATTACAGCAATTAAAGTATGAAATTAATACTTAATTATTATTAAGTAATGAGTTATAATTGTAGACCCGAAATACTCGATATAAAATATATCTATTACAGGCATGTGACTGTTCTCAAAAGGACTATCAAGAACCGCGTTCATAAAGTAATATTTACTAACGTACTTTATTTTACGATGATACTTCTAGTCCATTTTATTTAAACGACCAATAAAATAGCGTGTTAGGTATTAACGGTACCTACAACTTTAAACTACATGCTACAATATATTGTACAAAAAAGAAATTCGACTGTAAATAAAAAGCGTTATGAACCGCTTCACCGCACTATTATAAAAATTATTATTAACCTTAAATATCGATCCAAGACACTGCAAGTGTGTAATTTTTTTCACATAATTAGGTGTCGTTCGACAGCAGGTTGGAATCCGCCCGAGCGTCACCTTTTGTTCCTCCAAACAATGCTTGAAATTTGTACTTTTAAACCATCGTGATAATACGTTTTTTGTGTTGACGGGGTGTATGTTGGTAATTATTGTGTTACGGTTCGTGATATAGTCTGACACCCCTGGCGTAGCTGCAAGTGCCCCAACATATGCCCGATATATAAGTAATTGCGGGGATTTTATTAAAAATTTTTAACCCATGTAATTAGGAATATTTTTATCGTACGTAAGCCTGCCGAAGGGGCGTGTCCCGCAGCCTCAGGCCCACGTACACAATAGCGGCGGCTAAACAATTGTTCTTATTGTCGCAGGGGCCCGGTGTTTTAAGCTCCACAAAGATACCGTTAATCCCTGTCATTACTGTAACAATACCCACCCGAATTTTACCTCTATAATGTTCTTTTATTCTCCTATAGAGCGCAGAGATAGCATCAACTCCGAACTGAGCCAGATCGAGGCGAGCAGAGATCACGTCAAATCGGAACCGCGCGAGGAAGGCGAAGACGCCAACAACAGCGAAAGCGGCTCCCCGCAACACATGTGCCCCTTCTGCGAATACAGCAGCGACTCCGAGATGCGTATACAGGCCCACATACTCGCCCAGCACGGCACAAATAACACCCCCATGTCCGAACCCATGTTACACTGTCCGTTGTGTCAGGACGCCTTCAAAGACCGCGGCAATTTAGAGCGCCACGTCATGCAGATTCATTCGGTCAACAGCGAGGGCTTGCAGAGATTGCTGATGCTCGTAGATCAGAGCCACTGGCTCAACCAAACGTCTCGAACACCAACACCGAACAATTCCCTAAGCCAAACGCAAACGACACCTAATCAGATCGTTTCTCCGACTTCAGTGTCTTCCAAAGAATCTAATAAACATGAGAAGAGCGACGTTAGCCACACGGACGTCGAACCAGACTTGCTGTCGCCGACCAGCGACGACAATATCGAGTCCGAGTCAGAACGCTGCGGAACGTGCTTCAAGACATTTCGGAACATCGACGAGTTATGCTACCACCAAAACGAGACCGGACACCTGGAGATCAAACAAACCCCCAGCGGACCCGGTTACTTGTGCTGGAAGAAAGGATGCAACCAGTTTTTTCCAACAGCGCATACTCTACAAATGCATTTCAAGGAAGTACACGCCAAAAATTCGATCGCGAACATGTCGGTGTCGGAGAAGCACGTCTACAAGTACCGATGCAACCAGTGCTCTCTAGCTTTTAAAACACTAGAAAAATTACAGCTGCACTCGCAGTACCACATGATCAGGGATGCTACTAAATGCGTACTGTGCGGACGCAGCTTTAGGTCGCTCGTCGCGCTGCATAAACACGTCGAAAGTGTGCATTCAGAGTTGACGGACGAAGAACTGAACGCTTATAAGCAAAGTTTGATGAATAACCCTTTGTTACTGGCCGGATTGCAAGGGCAAGTGCTGGACAGCTCCACGAATGACATTCTCAAGAAGGAATCGATGCGCAACGACGACAACGAGTCTGGCGAGTGCGAAGACAACAAAGAGCTGAACACCAGTCAGTCACTGGACGATAGCAATCAGAACGATGGCGAAAACTCGGACGACAGCATCATTTATAAGGACCAGCAATTCCTGGAAGATTACCTGAACAGCCAGGCCATCGCGGAGGACAGCTACAACGACCCTAATCGAAAATACAAATGCCACCGGTGTAAAGTAGCCTTCACAAGACAAAGCTATTTAACAGCCCACAACAAAACCCTTTTACACCGAAAAGGCGAGAAACTGAGCTACCCCATGGAGAAATACCTCGATCCTAATAGGCCGTATAAGTGTGACGTATGCAAGGAGAGTTTCACACAAAAAAATATATTACTAGTTCATTATAATTCGGTGAGCCACCTGCACAAGCTGAAGAGAGCCATGCAAGAGCAGCAGAACAACAACAACAACCCTCCCGTATCGCCGTTAACAGGCACGACGCAACCGCAGAATTTGACGTTGACTCCTAAAAGCACGTCGTCCGAAGAAGACGACAAGAAGCGCTACCGCTGCAACATCTGCAAAGTGGCGTACACGCAAGGCAGCACGCTCGACATCCACATGAGGAGCGTCCTACACCAGACGAGAGCGAGTAAACTGCAGGATTTGGCGATGGCCGGCCAGATTGATCTGTCCAAGCCGCTAATCGAACAACCCGAAGCCATGCAGTCTCCCAAGCAAACCAGCCCAGCGCCAGGTAGTGGGGACAAACAACCCTCTCCCACCCCTCCGTCACCTGGACTCTCAGGTAGTCAAGGGATGATGAGCTGCCCTAAGTGCGGGGCGCTGTTTAGTTCTCAAGACCAGTTGAGTGCTCATCAGCAGCTGTACTGCATGTTCGCCACGCCGATGGCAATCTTCCAGGCGGCCCCCGAGCCCGGCCAGGCCAAAAGTCCGCCTCCAGACACACAAGAAGGAAACGTTAAACTAAATATACCCAAGAAGACCGGGTCGCACATGTACAAACACCTCCTGGAGAGTTTCGGGTTCGACCTAGTGATGCAGTACAATGAGAGCCACCAGAGGCGGCAGAGACAGCAACAGCGCGAGGCCGAAGAGAAGGCCGCCAGCGAGGCCCAGACGCCGCCGCCGCCACTGACACCCGCCACGGAAGAGCCCGCTTGCGAAACTACGACAACAGCCGACGTAGCGGAGGCCCGAGCCGAGGAGGACGCAGAGACCAGCCTACCCGAAGTAAGTAAATCCACGTGCCAACATTGCAATAAAGAGTTCTCTAGTGTGTGGGTGTTAAAGTCTCACTGTGAGGAAGTTCATAAAGATTTAGTGCCGCTCGAATTCTTAGAAAAGTATGCTCAACAGTTCAAAAACGAGTACGAAAAGAAAACGGTGGTCGTGACAGCGGCGACGTCCTCCACGCTTAACACCATGCCGCGAGTGTCGACTCCCGGAGGGACCACCCCTACCACTACCGCCGCCTCCACCAGCAGTTCAGGTGACGTCGCCACTCCCGATAAAGAGGATGAATCTAAAGAGTCCCTACATGCTAAGCTAAATCTGCAGACGCCTCCAGAAGCCACCTCCACGGCGCCGTCGACGCCGACGTCGTCGACGACTCCAGCGAGCAGTACGGATTCTTTGCCTGCAAATATCCAGGCGATGATCGCACAGAGTATGGCCCAGAACCCCATGGCGCTGGCCCAACAAATGTCGGAAATGCAAGCGGCGTTGAACGTCATGCAACTGCAGCAGCTGAATTTTAACCCGATGATGCAGATGATGGGTATGGGACTACCGCTGGGTTTGAACGCGTTGGCGGCGATGAATCTGCAACCGCCTCTAGTTCCCCTAATGATGCCGCCCCCGCCGTACGATCCAATTTCCCAGTTCGGGCCCCAAGACCAACAGGCCATGCTGGTGAAACAACAACAGGCCATGCTGCAGCAACAAGCGGTAAGTTTAATGTTGAAAACTATTTCGTCACGGTTTATTGAATGTTATTAACATTTTTCGGAATAATCCCGACGTTGATTAGAGCCTGTGAAATCTAAATATTTCCCTAATAACTGTCCATTATTTTAAACTTTTTATTCACTATTATCTTCAGATAAAACAAATCTGAAATTAAAATAAATCTCCCGTATTATCTAAATGTTCCAACATTCATAAACGTCTAATATTTTATAAAGTTTGTATACAAATATTTAGTTTTTAGGTGTGATTATTATCGTGTTTCGAAAAAATTCAAATACCTCTAATCCGTTAAATGCTAGTATTAATGAAACAAAACAAATAATCGATTTAATTTGAATACAGAATATACATTTTAACGTTCAAACTTAAATAAATGTCGCCGCCTTATCTTATTTATACAAAAAATATTTTTTACAAGAGTTTTTTTTAAACTGATCAGTTTATTTAAGGACTAATTTATTGCCACATATTTAAAACGTCGACAGGAATTTAACATTAGCATTTCTGCAGCAAGTTATTGTGTCATGTCTAACATTTACAGAAAAAGTTAAAATTAGATGGTTTCTGAAAGAGGCACTACAATTTATATTTATATGAGAAACCCAGTGATTTATGTATACGATGGTTTTTGCATTTTTAACCACTAATTAATATTGACGTATGCCTTGGATTTTTTCGGTGTAAATGTTAAATTCGTGATTTTATTATTACGCTTATATAAGTGCAAACAACTTTGTCATACCTTAGTAATTTATTAAGTATTTTCTTTTTTATGGAAACCAAACCGTTAATATGTAAATACAGAAATAATAACGTTTATGTATTGTAGAAAGTACAGATAGTGTGGAGTAACAGCTAATAAAAAAATACATTCATAAAACTGTGGAGAAATTTCTACGTACTGAAAATAATTGTCACTTCTAGGAAATCGGTTCATTGAGGGATAAACTTTATTAGGGATGTTTATTAGGTGTTCTGCAGTGTGGAATATGCATCTTTACACGTCATTCCTCATTGGCTATTTATTTTAATGACCAAATCTTTATATCATTTTTTAAAAATAATCCCTTGATGGTATATCTTTTTATTTAATTTATATACACATAAACCGTAGATATTTATTTACAAACAAGATGTTCGAGAAACAGAGAAGAATATAACTTATTTTAAATTATAATGATAAATATTGTTTTCAAATAGAGGATTTCGAGCTCATAGGACTTAATTAAATCAACGCAGAGATTAGCATCAGCTAGGTTAATCACACAAATGTAAAAGTTTCGAATTGATACAATCATTCTCGTTTTATGGGTACTAAATCTTTCTACCAGATGTACATGTAGGTTGATATGTCCACCTTTACCGTAATTCTCCAAATAACCTCAATGTTACTAATTGGAAATGTAATGTCATTATTTGGCTTTGTTCTTTATTTTTTATATAAGAATATATTTGTATTTAAAGAAAAACGTATGTATTCCACATTTGCTGCAAAGTAAAGTTTTAAATATGGTTTTTAGCGCAGTGTTTTTAGATCTCAAAATTACCGGCCTTATGTTAATTATTGTTAAGTGTTATAATAAATTGAAACTACTTAACACGTATATGCACAGTGGGAGTATTAAATATTCTTCGGAAGTGTGAATTTAATTTATTGTCAAAGTCTTTTATATTCCTGTCTTGGGTAATTTAAAAAATAGCTGTTATATTTAATTTATCAGTTTAGCAGAATCGAATCATATTTATTTTTGTTAAAAAGATGGCATTTTGAAACTGTTTCAAAACTAATTTCAATTTAAAAAATAGTGAAAAGCGATACAAGTAGGCTTATCGTAGTTTGTCTAATTAGCTAAAATATATATTATCTATGTACTTGTGTTGAGTGAAAGCAGCTGCTCACATAATTATACAGGAGAAATTTAAAGTTTATTTAATCAATATTAGTCAAAGAAAGAAGATGATGCTAATTTGTGATTATGTTAAGAAAAAATTAAGTGAAAAATTTGTTTCCGTTACTTTTAAATAACCTTTTCAAAATTACATACAAATATTACAGGTTCTTTGATGCGACTAATTCAAATTGTAATATTTTGGTGGGTGGAATCCGCTGTTGTACCATTGTTTATGGGAAGCCATGTATTTGTAACAAAAAATTCCTATAAATTTTCTCTGAAAAACAAGTAGTTTAATAATTACCATCAATTTATTCGACAACATTACTTACAATAGAAATTACACGAGAACGACTGATTCTATAAATAAATTGAAGAAACATTTTTTTAATTCGAAGAAGAATCAATATAGGTACTAGTGAAATTTCCAAATTGTCAACGGGGTCGAAATTCTGGGGTTGTTAGTACCAGCGCATTTCAATATTTCCGATAATGTTTTGGTAAAATAAATAAATGTAATATTTTTCAAATACAGGGTGTTTCTAAATAAGTGCGAAATATTTTAGGGGTGGTTGCCGAAGTTATTTTGTGAAAAAAAGTTAGTATAAACGTAGGTCGAAATATGCTTCGTTTCCGAGATACAGAGGGTTTAAATTTTAATATTTTATTAATTTTTGTTAATTATTTCAGTTTTTTTAAGATATTGACTCGGAATTTGATAGTTGTATTTTATTTAGAAATATTGACAGCAACCTACTAGATAATGTGCCAATAGAAATTAAAAATACACAACTTGCAATAAAATATGTTTTATTTTTTCCTAAAAAACGGTGCTTCATACGAAAAAAATTGAAGACACCAATTTCATTCAGAATTAATGGTGAATTTCTAAAAAAAAATATCAAAACGGGAAAAAGTCAGTGGCGTATCATTTTTTTATTAGAAAAGTTTGTGGCATTATCTCACGAACGCCACTGGTGCAAGTAGAAATATTCGGATCACCCCAAAAAATGCACATTTATCCCTCTGAAGCGTTTTTCAAATTTCGAGTCAATATCTTTAAAACTGAAATAATTAATAAAAATAAATTAAAATATAAATATTCTATCTCGGAAACTTATGAACTTTTTCACAAAATAACCACCCCCTAAAATATTTCGAACTTATTTACAAACACCCTGTATATCTCGAAGGAAAGAAAATTCACGTGTACTTTGAAGGTTCAAGATACAAGGAATCACCTCTTGAAATATTTTTACGTACCTATGCTTTACAAGGTATATGTTATATTCGACTTTATGTTTTAACACTTCACTTAAAAAAATAGTTCATGTATTTTTGTACAAAGCAGCATAATTTTCTTGTTATTGACTACACAAAGATAAATATGTTATCACATAAGTAGACCAAAAATTAGTAAATTCTGAGTTTATTTGAAAAATATGTATATCATAAAATCACAATAAATATATAAATATTTTGTAGTATCAAGTTATCTGATCGCTATTCTTACAAATGGGGACGTAATTTTAAAATTTTTGTGATTTCTAATTATCATTAATTTTATAATATTCACTAATTCACATATGAATAAAAAAAAAGTAGTAAAATAGAACAAATTAGGAAAATATAAAGTAAATACCGAAAAATAATCAATGGAATTAAATAAAAACAATAAAATCAAACTAGAATATTTTGATAAAATCTCTTAGAAGTTAATTCACAAAAATTGTGAATAGGATCTATTTGCAACTGTATCTAGGTACTAACACTTGATAATGTTCTATTAAGGCTATTTTTGTCAATTTAAGTAAAATTTCCTGTAGTTGCCTTATAAAATAGTCCTTTGTATTTCTGACTCACCTTTTAAGAATTTTTTAGGGTATCTTTTCAAAGTTTGCACTTATATAGTTTACACGAAACATCAATTAGCGTTATATGGCAAATAATATGTGAAAGTCCATGCTGAAAGTTTGTTTTACTAATGATCCCATTATTTCGCGACATGTATATGGTGAAATTCGTGCTAAAAAATTCGAAGAACCACACCGTTACAACATGGACAAACCATATCCCCACGAAGGCCTGAATTATAGTTATTAATTGTTAAATATTTTTAATATGCAGTACTTGACGGCGACAAGAAAACAAATTGCATCTTAAAGTGTGACATGTGCTAATTAAAAACTCTCGCGGTGCAAATATAAGTATAAATTGTCGTGCCATTTATCAGTTATGCATTCAGCATATATTCGGGTATGGTTTAGCCGTTAATTAAAATAATAAATCGAAAAATAATTACGCATTCCAAAGTCCGAGGATTATTTGTCCCAACCGATCCGGCTCTGTTGATTATTTTAATTGCCCTTTGTAAGATGTAGCCTTGTATTGTGATAATTATCGTAATTGATTTATAGCCAATTTGTTACAATTTATTAAGGCTACATGTATCCCCGGACCCGGCATATAAATCTGTATAATATGGTGCAGTAATGTCATTCTGTTAAACGCGTACTCTTTGTTTCTGTGCAGGCTGTCAACGCTGCTGCTAACCAAAAACGCGCCAGAACTAGGATCACCGACGACCAACTGAAAATTTTGCGCGCCCATTTCGATATCAACAACTCGCCATCCGAAGAGCAGATCCACGAGATGGCGTCTCAAAGCGGCCTACCACCCAAAGTCATAAAGCACTGGTTCAGAAACACTTTGTTCAAGGAAAGGCAGCGCAACAAGGACAGCCCTTACAACTTCAACAATCCACCGTCCACGACGCTGAATCTGGAGGAATACGAGAAAACGGGAGAAGCGAAAGTGATGCAATTGAACAGTTCAGGCAGCAGCGCAGAGGATAACAAACCCAAAGACTCGCCGATACCTAGTCAACAAGAGATTAAGACCGAACTGAAGGAAGAACCTTCAGAAGACACTACAAAATTTAGCGAGGATAAAATCCATGAACCAATCGATGAAAAATCTAACATATTTAACTTACCGCTAAATCTACAACCGCCACAGAGTCCCGCGACGTCCGTCGCCAGCTCTGATAACCAGAACGTGTCACAACCCAGTACACCCAACAATCTCACGCTTACCTCAATTATCGCTTCACAGTTGGGCGATACTCTAACAACTAGTACCCCAACCATGAATATAACAAGTATGTCGTCACACCACGGATTAGCAAGTCCCATGCTCCCCCCACCCAAACTAAACCAACTAAACCAACAAAATTTTCCCAACCCTAACAACCTGCAAGGCATGCTTCCGTTGACCCCAAACCGATGCTTGAGCCCTAGTAGAGAGTACAGTAATCCAGGCAGTCAAGGCTCTGGGGGATCAACAGGAAAGAGAGCGAATAGAACTAGATTCACAGACTACCAGATAAAAGTTCTACAAGAATTCTTCGAAAACAACGCTTATCCAAAAGATGACGACTTGGAGTATCTGTCGAAACTATTAAATTTAAGTCCTAGGGTTATAGTCGTCTGGTTTCAGAATGCCAGACAAAAAGCCCGCAAAGTATACGAAAATCAACCAGCTGCTGAACCCGCCCCTGGCATACCCGACGAGACAGGCGCGAACCGGTTCCAAAGGACTCCAGGTCTAAATTACCAGTGCAAGAAATGTCTTCTAGTTTTCCAACGTTACTATGAACTAATTCGGCATCAAAAGACCCATTGCTTCAAAGAGGAAGATGCTAAAAGATCTGCTCAGGCTCAAGCTGCAGCTGCACAAATCGCAGCGGTTTTAAGTTCGGAAGATTCGAATTCGAGCACAACTGTCGAACAATCCCAGCAACCCCAACATCAAATGCAACAGCAGTCAACAATGCAACAGAACAGTCAGTCAAATCCCGCCCATAGTCCCAGTCAACCTAATCCTCCTACCACACCCACCCCAAACCAAATGAATTACCCCGCTTCCTCCCCTTCTCCGTCAGATTCTAAAGAAAGTACATTTCAATGCGATAAATGCAATTTGGTTTTTCCTCGATTCGAGCTTTGGAGAGAGCATCAACTTGTTCATCTAATGAATCCTAATCTTTTTCCAACTTATCCTCCGGATTCCCCTTTTGGAATATTACAACAACATGCGCAGCTCCAGCAACTAAATTCTAATTTGGGGGACATGTCCAAACAGCAAAATAATGCCATACCTCAAAACCTCACCCAGAACATTCAACATCCTCTTATAAATATGTTGAATAATGTGACTGGTCAGAAAAGGAAGATAGATGAATTTGATGCAGAAAGCGACACATCTGACCAACCCAAAGACAAAAGATTAAGAACTACTATTTTACCGGAACAGTTGGATTACTTGTACCAAAAGTACCAAATCGAAAGCAATCCTTCCAGAAAAATGTTGGAAAACATTGCCAGAGAGGTTGGATTGAAGAAGAGAGTAGTTCAAGTCTGGTTTCAGAATACCCGTGCCAGAGAAAGAAAAGGTCAGTTTCGGGCGCATGCCCAAGTAATTAACAAGCGGTGTCCTTTTTGCCCTGCATTGTTTAAAGTGAAGTCAGCTCTAGAATCTCATTTAACTACCAAACACGCTGACCAGTGCGCTAGAGGTGAAATCAATATAGACGCTTTACCCGACGAAGAAATTAGTCTCGAATCAGCACCTAGTTTGAGTTCTGGCAGCGACAACAAATTTCAGCAACAGAACCCAAACATGATGCCACCACTTTTTCCTTCTCTTCACCCTGAAATGGAAAGTTCCATCAAGAAATACTACGAGGAGAGTATGAAGAGGTATATCAGTGAATTACAAGCACACGCTTCGTCCTCCAACGGAGACAAGAGCGAAATCAAGACTGAAAAAGGTGAAAGTGGTGAAATTCCTTTAGATCTCTCCAAACCAGTGGACCTATCAAGACCTATGAAAGTATCTATGGATCACGAGCGCAACATTTGCGATCCCGGTCCTCTAACCGATCTCAGTGAACGATCTCTTTGCGACGAAAGAAGCGATTCGATGTCCGAAACGACGGAGTTTTACGACGACGAAAGCAACCCTACGTCGCCAGCTAGCAGTACCCAAAGTAACACTCAAAGACAGATGAACAGCGGCACTTCGGTGGGAGGCACGAAGCGATTTCGTACGCAGATGTCCTCAGTCCAAGTGAAAGTAATGAAAACTCTTTTTCACGACTATAAGACCCCAACAATGGCGGAGTGCGAGAGTTTGGGTAGAGAAATTGGATTACCCAAGCGAGTGGTGCAGGTGTGGTTTCAAAACGCCAGAGCGAAAGAAAAGAAATCCAAAATGGCTTTGCAGAAGGCCCTCGGTCAAACCGACTCCGATAATCCCCCGTTGCCCGACGACTGCAAGTACTGCAACTTTAAATACTCCCACAAGTACTCTATCCAAGATCACATCTTCACTAAAACCCACATCGCGAATGTAAGGATGTATCTGGAGAGTCAGCACAAAGAACAGGGCCAAGAAGGGGAGTTCACGGTACCACCCCTACCCGGAGCTTCTGGAGGTGTTTCTGCTGATTCCACCACGAATCCCTCCCAGAATCTAAACAACAACAACCCCCTACAACTCCTGCAGATGGCTGGGATGCAGATGGGTGGGGCCCCTTCCAAGGGGGAACAGGAGGAGAGTCCAGAGTCGCTGTTCCAGCAGTTATACGCCCTGGGTAACAACGCCAACTTCGGAGTCCAGAACCAATATGTCCATCATGCCATGTTCGGCGCAAATGGTGAGTAAAGTTTTGCTAGTCTTGCTTAGAGTAGTTTTTTGTCGATTGAAGAGTTTAATCTTGCATTGCAAACCTGTGTTTTAAAATTCGTTGCCAATTTTTAGCATAAACTAAGAAGATATCAGAGATTTACGATTTCAGCTTTCCGAAACGAAAAATTGTAACAAAATGTTTAACATTCCCAGTTACAGGAAATCATAAAGAACATATATTAAAGTATAATTTTATGTGATATGCACCTCAAACGCTTAAATATAGGGACGTCGGGTTTAAGGAATCCATATTTTGAACTCTATTGTACAGGGAGTAATCAAAATACTAGACCAAACTTTAACGTCGAATTCAATAACAGTATTTTAATAAAAAAAACATAAACATCTTGTTTTCGATATACAGGGTGTTAAAAATTAATTAAAACGTGGCTTATTCAAGCTTGCAAGAAAAGATTGAGGATGGTCGTATAAATAATTCTTATAAATTTAATTCGTAGATAATGTGGTAACATTATTCTTAACTAATTTGAACTTTTAAGTCTATTTTATCATCTTGAAAACGGTGTTTTTCAGCAACTTATGGCCAGAATACATTTTTGGAAAATTTTCAGTATTCTGTTGCAGTATTGAGTCAAATTTAAAGTAGCTTAGAATACAAAAAAACTATTGAAAGTTTACAACGTTAAAACTACACCATTTTTTTTCATTTTTTTCTCAAATTTAACACCCTCTATCTCGAAAAAGAACACGTGTTTATAGGAACGTTGTTGTTTGTGGCATATAATCTGAAATTAAAGTTCAATACAGAAACAAAAAAAGGTACATACAATTTCAGAGATGTAGCTTTTTTACAAATATGTATGTACAGTTTCAAAATTTAAAATCATTTACAAAATATAAAAAAATACAATTTCTTATTCCAATTTCAATTCGTACTAAATATCAAATTTGTAGAAAAACAGTCACTGGAAGAAAAGATATTAAGGGGTCAACGTATCCATATAATTTTGTTTATAAAAAACTTTTTATCTTTCGTTTTCTAAAAAAAAAAATATTCCTTTTTTAAAAATTCTACCAACACATACATAGTGTCCTCTATTAAGAAATAGTTACAAATTTCATTTTTATTGATTTTATTAATTGAGAAACGCATAAATAGTTCTTTCTTTTCCCAACATGGATTATATACTGGGTGTCTCCGTATTGTCTTAATCGTTGGTATTAATGTAAGAAATTTTAAAAGCAGATATTTGACATTTTAGGAACCGAATATGCTTGGTTAGAAATAATCTGTAACGAAGTTTTATTTATGAAACATTAAGTAAGTGTTTACACGAAAAAAAATATTTTCTTTATAAGTAAAGTGCCTTTTTCGTATAGGATATCCACAAACTTAATTTCATTAAAAGTCATAATTGAAATACACTTTACAAAGAAGGAAGTTGGCCTAAAATTTTTCAATTTCTCCACGCAATCAATATAAGTGATCTTTTTTGTAGAAACTTGGAAAAAAGTTAATAGAAGTTTGGAATTAAAATATATATTAATGTCTCAAATTTGTTAGCCATCTGTTTTTATTTTTCCATTCAAAGATTTATCAAAAGAGAAAATTTCAAAATATGACGATTTTCTTTTAAGTGTGATATACAAGGTGTTTCAGGATTAAGTCGACAAACATTAAGGAGATATTCCTCATAAAAAAATAAGAAAAAAATCAAGTATAAATTTTTTTACAGAGACGCTTCATTTTCGAAATATAGGACGTTAAAGATTTTTTAAAAAATTCGAATTTTTTAAATAACTTCTAAATGAAGAAGGCTATTTAAGCCAAATTTGGCATGACACATCTTCTTATAAGATACCATTTTTCCGTAGAGGTAGAAGTCCCGCAAGCAACCAGTGGCGGAGTTATGGGGACTCAGACTCATTAAATTATAAAAAAAATTAATACCTATTAAAGTTGGTCTTAGTTTCGAGTTTGTGTGAGTCAAATAAGCCTTTTTGTCTCTCATTCTCTTGGGTTTAACCAATAGTATTAAATTATTTAGGAGATACTTCGTTTTTGAGATATAGGGTGTTTTTTTAGAAAAAAAAATGATGTTGATGAAAACAATAGAAATATTTAAGTACCTAACATCTAATGTGACTATGTCGTAATGCAACAACGTAACGACCTTTGCAATACTCCTAAATTTTTTCAGTCCCCATAACTCTGCCACTGGTTGATTACGGGACTTCAACTTTTATGGAAAAATGATATCTTATAAGAAGATGTGTCATGCCAAATTTGGCTTAAATAGCCTTCTTCGTGTACAAGTTATTTAAAAAATTCAAATTTTTAAAAAAATCTTTAACGCCCTATATTTCGAAAATTAAGCGTCTCTGGAAAAAATTTATACTTGATTTTTTCTTATTTATTTATGAGGAATATCTCCTTAAAGTTTGTCGACTTAATCCTGAAACACCCAGTATGGACTTAAACTGTCTTCCATAATTTGTTTCATACCTTGTTTGAAAAAGGCACCTTATCTACACAGAAAATGTTTCTTTTTTACTTCTAAAATATGCTACAAATTACTTTTTACCTACAGAAGTTCTCCCTCTTTCTATCTCAATTTACTTATAATTTGACTAATTTGTAAAATCGGTTTTTTTCAAGTTAGTAATAACTGATAAAGTTTGAAATAATTTAAAAAAGTACTTTTGTTTTAATGTTTTGACGTTTCGAAATGAAAATACGTACATTTGATTAAGGTACTATTAAGATCAAATGTTTGCTCTTGCCTCAGCAGTCGAGCAAAGTCAATAATTATAAAGATGGGATGCTCTCGCCATATAAATGGTATACTTAATCTGATAGCATGTTATTTATTTCGTAAAATACCAATTTCCTGCTGTGGTACATAAATTGTTATCCCCTAGAAAATGAGAAATATGAATTAATTTTTCATTCCCCTTTTGTATTTCTCATATGAATTCGTAAAGCGGGCCCACCATGCTCTGGCGCTGGCCCTGTCAATAATATATGACGCACGTCTCACCACAACACGCCCTGTATATTTTCGTGACTCCCTATTTCAAGATAACACTCAACTTTTCTCGTATTACCGCCAGAACTTCTTCATTTATCATTCCGGGACTGTATGGTCGACGTAATTAGTGATATCCCTGCCAGCTATCTCATTTATAATTTACCTAACAGTAATTGGCTTGTTTTTATTTTATTTTTATATTGTTTTTGGTTAATTATGCTTTGGGCGGGCGCCGTCACGAAAAACGGATTAATTTGTAATTTTCACGCCGACAGGAAATTGTTCTTAAGAAAGTCAGATTCGAAGAAATGTACTTACCAAAGCATACCTATGCTCGACGTAAACCACACAATACATCTTCTAAGAAAAATACGCTCTTAGTCTAACCTCACCTTATTTTTTTTCTTTTTTAAAACAGTTAGTTTACTCCCACGTTTCCATTTTAGCATATATCAACGGCTTTATCCATTATAATAATCTGTACACCTGCCTATATTTAATTAATACGTCTATATAAATAAATTTTAGATAAATTATCACACCGGTTTACGGGTTTCAAAATAATGGATGATAATTCTTTTTATATGATAAACAGTACAAATTAGTAGCAGTAGGTACTGACATTAAATCTTTTAATCACTTTTTTTTTAATTTGGTCGGACTTTGTTTCCCTCTTTGTTCTCAACAGGTGGTGGTCATAAATTTACATTTCTCCGTAACTTAAACATTTGTCAGAAACTGGAAACTATTTATTTTTTGAACCAAATTCAGATTTTTTTTTATCAGTGTACTGTAGATGAGATAAACTACATTTTATCATTTACTTTTATTCGCAATACTGACTAAAATTATGTTAGGAATGAGGAGTATAATTTTCGAAATATCTGGTATTCCGAAAATTCAGAATGATTTAATTTAAAATACGATATGTACAACGAGGTGGTTATATTATTAACAAATTAAAATTAAACGTCTACTGAATCTGTTTTATATGGGAAAATAATAAACAAACAAGTATCAGGTATTAAAATTTAATTCATTAGATTTAATGACTAGTAGATAAATAATTAAAAATATTCAGTATAGTTATTCTTAGAACTTGCATAAATATTTTTTGAGACAAAATAAGGACCTTGATTTTAAATTAATTTATTAATATGAGTATAAAAAAATCATGATTGAATTCATATAAAATATTTTTTGCTCAATTTATTAATTTCTTAATAGATTATTTGCTTTATCAATTTTGTTTGTTGTTATTTTAAATGCCATACACAAATGACGAGTTTCACATCCAAATCCTTATTGAAAATTAGTTTTGTCTACAGAGTGTAGCAATGAAACTGCGTAGATATGATTTAACCAAAGATAATTATATCAAGTTATGCTGTTTTCAGGCTAGCATTTTAACATTTGTAACAAAGTTATTCATAAATACAGAAAAAAAGTTGATATAAAAGTCGTACAGAATCAAAAAACCTAAAAGACAAACTTAATTTGAAACACATGGGGCGATGAGTAAAAACGGGACACGCCTAATATTACATTTTTTAAATGGAACACCCTGTATATTTTTAAACATATAGATTTCTGAGAAAATTCTATATATGGCAATATAAACAGTTTGGCATTTTAATGCGGGGTTGCCAAGTTATGTAGAAAATTCTTCGAATTTTGAAAAAAACATGACCTCGAAGAAGTTGTATTAACTTTCAACTACTAACACTTGGAGTAAAAAATATTTGACAGAGTTATAGATAAATGTTAGGCAAAGACTCCTATATTAACTAATGTACAGGGGATTTTTTATAATACGATCATTTTATGAAAGTTTAAACTTGATTTTCTAAAATTTTTCAAATGGAACACCCTGTATCTTATTGTTCTATTTTATTCACATATCAGTCCACTTCAACTTTTATTAAGTATGTTCTATACCTAAAGATGTTAGTTTTTAAGATATAGCAACATTTCT